TGTGTGACCTGTGCATCAGTGTGTCTGTCTGCGTGTACGTTTGTACCGAATTTTCATCTCCAGGCCTGCAAAAGCTACAAGGTTGAAACTTTGGGAACATAATCTAGGAATGTAGAAGGCCCTACCCTTAAAATTGTTACTCCTGCTCAAAAATTCCTACGTGCAGCACATGGAAGTTTTTGGCAAGTAGTTTGGCAATTCAAGAACCAGAAAAGCTAGAAGACTGAAATTTGAGGATGACGTTCCCTGTCCGAGTACAATTTCGGTTTCAAATTTAGCCCCCAGACGTGCGTAATTCTCACGTACGGGCTCGTGATAGTTTTTGACTGGCAGGTTGCTAACCCAAGAATCGGAAAAGCTAGAAGGCTAAAATTTTATGGGGATTTTTTCTAGCAGTTGCGCTGGCCAGTCTCAATTCCCTTAACTAGTAGCATCTACCGAAAAAGCAGTGCCGCTAGCAACAAAGACCTGCAAAGAACTGTTTGAAAAATACATTTTCACGCCAGCAGTCGGTGCGCTGACCAATCATTGCAAATAATAACGGACCTGTACTGTTCTACTTCAGTTCCAGTTTCCTAAAATGCATGTGTTATTGAAGATGCTGATGTTCTTTCTGGTCGGTTCACTCACTTTCTCACTGCTCATTGCCATTGTAACAATTGTTTATTTCGGGAAATTTAATGATTTTCTATCAACTGGAATAGCTCAGGTAACTTTTAACTCATTCTCGAATCTGTTCGTAACCGGTGGCTGTCTCAGTTCGCTATTTTTATAAACCTAGCAGAACTGCGCTAATATGTGCTTGCGATTTTTTAGCTAATTTTTCTGCACAGAATATAAATTTGAGTACAAAGTATTTAAAAACCGAGATTTAAAAACAACAGCAATAATAACGATAATAACAACAACAATAATGTCAATAATAATAACAATGATAGTAATAACAATAATAATAATGACAATAGTAATAATAATGAACTAATGGGCAGATGCCAGTAACGCGAAATTAGGTTTCAGCACATGATTGGCTTCAGTGTGTCGCAGTATGATCGTGAGAAAATCCATTGGTTACAAGGATTTTTTGAATGCTGTGGTGTTTTCGGTTATGAGGATTGGCTTTCGCTTACCAATACCAACGAGCTATTAGATTCGTAAGTTCACAATAGCACAATTGCTTGAGTTTCAAAGTTACATTTTTTAGCTCTCTTCATCAAAAGTATAAAATGACTGTGAGATTGGAGAGGAAAGTTAAGTAGTGCAAATTTCGATGAAACTCAGAGCACCGAATCGGAATAAAGAAGTTCCAGTTCAATTTCAGAAATTTGCCCTCAATACTTTACCTTCTGTGAGAAGCAGAGGTGTTCGAAAGTGAGCCGAAGTGCAGCCTGGGCTGCTGATAATTAAGTATCCCGATGGTAGGGGTAAGCTAAAATGATTTAACTGCCAGACGCATGCTAGTGCCAATTTTCGGCCCAGACTTCAAAAAGGCGCCAATTTTTACTGCTCCATATTTGTCAGCTGGGTTCGATTTTTTATTTTTTTCAGAAAAATCATGCAAAGTAAATTATAAAGTTAAATTTGCAGTAAGCTGATA